CTGATTTTTTTATGTACAAAACCTCCTTTTAATAACCCGCAATTAGAGATTAGTATTCTCATTTTTTACCTGGGTTTCATTATTCTCCTCCACCCCCTGCCAAAAAATATAAGTTCTTTGTTCCGGATCTCACATTTTCAATTAAACCAGACCCAACTTTTATGCAAATGAGTCAAATGTATATTGTAGATTTTTAATATCCGGTAGGGCAAAGTTTCATAAGTGACCACTATTTCAATTTATTTAAGAGTTAGGTCTCTATTGGTTAAATGGACTGACTCAGAAGCAGTAATGGTTTGTGGTGACCATGGAGGAAATTGAGTAGAAGAACATGTTCCATGCATCATTAAATACCCTTTGGTGCTGCATTAAAAGTCAGCTGAGTAATGTGTTACTTTAACTACCTTTAACTTTAAATCAATTCCAAAATACAGTGAAAAATCATAAACAAAATTAGTGTTTGTTAGTAAACTGAATTTGGTATCCGATTTTTGTGGCTATTGTTTGGCTCATGAATTATGACCTCAGGGGAGCAGAGAAAGGGTAGAGTACTACTTCTGCCTGTTTGCAGGATCACTGGCACAAAAAAGGCTATGGTTTCCCTCAGACAAGACCCCATACTAACTAGTAAAGGTCAAGGTGGGCAAAGGATGCCAAGTGACATAAGATTGAGAGGTTTTTTTAAGCTTTCAGACCCATCATAGCATATCTAAAACTCAAGCTACTTAAAGGACCGCCTTCAACATTTTAATCAGTAAAGTTGTAACCGATTCTTATTCTGACACTACTTTAAACCAACCTGCTTACTATTTGAATACAGCTTGTGTATCAGTTAGAGAACAATGGACCTATGGGGTACATGGAACCATTATAATTAAAGTAAATTTTATGATGGGTCAACTAAGCTGTTATTAACACAGGTTAGAAAAAAAATCATTAACAGTATTCTATTGGGCTTTCATCATGACAGTCAGAAATGATACCTGAGTAGTAGCTCAGCTATGTCAATGAAAGTGAAAGCTTTAAGGAAAATGCATTTCAGAATTTATTCATGGTGACAGGAGCATTTTATTTTGTGAAATATACTTCTGGTTTGAGAAAAATGGGTTTCTTTTAATCATGACACCTACTACTAGATCCTCTCTCTCAAAACCTTCTCTTCAGACTTACAACCCTCAATCTTTTTTGTTCTTTAATTGAATTTTTTAATACCCAATTGTATGTTGTAAGGAAATATTCCTTTGGATAACAGACCCCGTTATAGCTCTACCACCATTTCACACAATTTTCAAGTTATTTTAACCAGAAACATATTTTTAGAAATCTCTAAAGAAATTCTATTAGTTCTTCAATTATAGAAACATTAGGAGCAGAAGCACTTAAGTTTGCTCTCATAAAAATTCTCACAGCGAACAATAAAAAGTGCACAGATATTCCTGACCCAACCCCACATAGAGTCCCTCAAAATCATGAAATGGCACGCAAGAGATGTGGGCCTCTCCAAAGCTGAGCTGGAGGTTTTTTCTCTGAGCACACATCATCTCAAGGCCTCTGCTAAGATTTTCTGAGAAACCTGTGTCCTACTTGGATCATATTTTAAAAAGAGAAAAGCAAAGAAACCAAAGGAAATTGAAGCAGAAGTGCTCTTCAACCAGATCTTGAGGAAACACACCTCTCAAATTTAGCTTTTCTCATTTATTGTGTCTCCTGAACAATAAAGACAAGACCAGATAAGAAATAATGATGTCAAGGCTATATTCAAAAGAGCTTAAATACCATAGCAGGATTCTGCCAAAACCAAACAGACTAACAGTAGCATAGCAGCAATTCTGAGTGAGCTCAGGGCCTGAAATAGGCTTATCTTAGTATCAATTCCAGGACCAGAGACCAGGGCTAGCAAGGAAGATATAGCAGAGCCCACAGGAAGTGCAGCTTGTATAGGTCAACTCTTTTTACAGCTTAGTGTACTGCTATCATTTTCTAGATGCCAGGCCAGAAAGAAAGCGGAGTTAGCAAGAGGCACAATCAATACTTAGGGCTGGTCTACACTTGGGGGGAGGGGGGGGATCGATCTAAGATATGCAACTTCAGCTACGCAATTCGTGTAGCTGAAGTAGAAGTATCTTAGTTTGACTTACTTGGCTCCCTGGCCAATTCCGCTTACTCCTCCTGCCAAGGTGGAGTACGGGCATCGATTCAGGGATCGATTTATCACGTCTAGACGAGACGCGATAAATTGATCCCCGATAGACATGGCCTTACAGAACTCAAAGCTCATCACAATTACAGCCTATTCCCTGAAAAGTGAAGTATCTGGAGCCAAGTGGAGTGTGACAATAGCAAGGGCCAAGAGCAGGAGCATCGATATTTTAACATTCACACTCATTTCACTAGAAAACTTGCACACAAAATGATGAAGATATTATATTAACACAATGAGCACCAAGATGAGCAAAAACATTTGAAAAGCTTTATTTCCCCCAACAGTAAGAACTGTCAATTTCTAGTAGCTTTAGTTCATACTATTTTTTTTTTTCATCGATTAAGCCTTTTACTGACATACTAGTAATTGAAACTAAAAATTAGACATCTGGAATTGACTGAACAAAAACATACCGTTTTGATCTAGTTAAGGAAAACAGGATCCACCTATTAGTATGATAGCAAAAATATGTAATTGAATAAAGAGAAGCAGAATTTGGATTCACAATTCTAATAAATGTGAATGTCATTCATTTCAGTATTTATACACTGGCATACCTAACTGTAGAATGTCCATTTTTCCCCTCTTCTTCTTTTCAAGTCTGTATCACTGCTCTTGAGCAGATATCACAGACTCATCTCCGTTAAAAATGAAAGAATTGGGTCACCATCACATTCTGTTCAATGGGTTGAGTCTGCAGTATTCTTCTTTGCTCAGGATATTAATCTTTCTAAAAGCATTCTAGCTCTTCAGTGTAACAATCTAACAGCAGTAATTACTTCTTGTTCTGCATTATCAGATGTTGCAGGTATTATGATTTTTTTCTTTGTCACTGGATTGGTGTATTTAAAAGATTTTATTTGAAAATCACTCATTGATAAACAATCTTGTGTGTTCTGACATGAAGAACCAAAATTTCCAAGTTGGATGTGATGGGTGTGTCTGCAAAAATAACCGGACACCCAGGATGCATGCAGATCAGGAACCTGTCCAAGCTCACAGCTAGCTGTACATTTGCCCGATATATACTTCCCCCTCCCCCCCCCTTCAAATGTGGAGCTTTGCAGGGTATTTTACCCTCCTTTGAAACGGTCTCTGGGAACATACCACACAGTCAGAATATTATGTAACAATAAATTTACCATCTAGAGATAATTCAGTTATCTTTCTTTAATGAATAGCATGCAGTTGTCATACAGGAAACTATTTTATTATTAATACACATGAGGTTTTCTTGAAAAGGAGATAGGTGATTATAACAATCCACAACTTGTACCAGAAAGCAACACATCTCTTGTTATATATACACATATGCAGTATTTAATCACCTTTTTTACTATTTAGAGGGGAAAGGCAGTTTTTAAGGTGGTTAAGCTATGTATCATCAATACCATGAAGCTAACCTATCAGTTGTAATAGCTCCTATAAAATACCAGGGCGAGATTGCAATAAGACTTGAAAATGGGCTACAAATCCCAGATATGCTCAAGTAGGCAGTGAACCAAAAATAAAAATAGGTAGATCTGAAACCAAGAACTAGATAGCATTCATCTAATTCACGACCACTAAAGGTAGAGTTCATAGGCCAAGGTTTTAAAGAGTCTTATTCAGCTCTGAATGGCAATTATTAGACAAAGATTTCAATTACAAAATTTCCCTCCTTCCAAAAGGGTTAAATTTCCAGTATTGCTTTTCTATGCTCTGCATATGTAATACCTTTTACAGTTTCCATCATCACATTATTCTAATGAAGCAAATTAACAGTGTTCTCTGATAAAGACGTTAGAGGATGAGGCTGAAGGCCTTGGAATTTATCATTCTAGGATATGGTTACTACTAGAGAGAACCCTCAAGTTATTGTATTGAAATGAACTCTCCTTGCTCTCCATTTGCCTCTCAACTCCCATTCTGATAAAGAATTACAGCTCACTTCTATGAGTGTTTTTTTAAACATTATTTTATAAGCTGTCTCTCCTCCTTTTTCTTTCACTCTACCTCCAAAAAGAGTTTTCAAACCCATACAGCTTTATTTGAAAAAAGCAGAATTGGGAGTGGAATGGGAGAGGCAGTGATAACTGGTCTTTCTCCCTTCTTTATCAACTTTGTTGTTCCTACAACTGAGGGGACCTTTAATAACATTTGTGCTTAGAGGCTCTGGGGATTTTGTGATGTGCATACATGAGTATTAGATCACTAACTTCATTTTAACATATGGCCTTAAAAAAAAAAAAAAGATACAAAGTTGAGGGTGAAAGAGATGAGAGTACTCCACAGAAAAAAAGAACAGTACATTAATCCTATGCGCCACATACACTTAGTGTCAGGTGCATTTGAGTACCTTATCAGTTCTGATGTTCCTTTACAAAAAGACAAGTAAAAATAATCTCTCCCTACAATGTGATTTGCTTTAGATAAATATCCCTTTCTTCACATACATCTGCCATATACTGAAATGTGTATTTTTTTTTTTTTACCTTTTTCCCCCCTACAGTTCATAATGTAAAGCATTAAGGAACAGTCTTCTAATTAACAGTTTGTTTGGATCATTCCATTATAATATCAGTGTTGGAAGGAGAAGAATTAAAAACAACCAAACATAAAAGTGTTAGAAGAACTAGTTTATAGTAGAGTCTTACCATTCTAATTTGCATACTGTAAAAGAATGAATTAATTCAGCTATATACAAACATTTAGGATATCAATGAAAGGAGGAGTATGCATTTGGTTTTTGGGTTTTTGTTTTGTTATAATGGAAAAAACAGTTCAAATTGGTTTGAATGAAAAAAAGCACGCCTACCAATGCAGCTGGGTTTCCTGAAACCTTTTTGATGTTCCTTGCTGGCATTCCATGAAGATGACTAAATCTACTCTGGAAACCTACAAGCAAGCATTAGAGCTCAGTTTAAAAAATATTTTATATTACAGACAATCACATTCCTAAAGGTACAGTAGGCGATATGAACCAAAAGGAATACAAAATATTTTCTTTGAATAACAAAGAATATTTTAATGTGTTAATTTTATAGCTGCACCATTTTGTTTCGTTTCTAAAACTACTGAATTATTTTATGAAAGCTATTGAATTACAAGTTTAGGGGCTGATGCTGCAAACCCTGACCCACATAAAGGGTACATTTGCATTGCATCAAGGGTTGCAGATTTGCAGTTTGTCTAGACATACCTGTGCTACCTTTAATCTAACTAGCTTGCTAAAATCAGTAGTGAGGACACAGAGGTGTGAACTTTGGCATAGTCTGCACAAGTGAGTACATACCCGGTGTCAGGTGGCTTTGTGCAACCCACACCGAAGACTGAGCTGATGTTGCAGCACCCTCACTGCTATTTTAGCAACCTAGCTAGATCAGGTATGTCTATACAAGCTGCAAACTACAGTTTGGACCCGACTGCAATGTAGATGTTCCCAAAAAATCCACTGAAGTCACTGCAATCAGTGGGACCCTTTGTAGGAGTACAGGTTTGCAAGATAAGGGCCTAAGAAAAAAATCAATTTCGTACCTCCTGAACTTTGCAATCATTGGCAAATGGATCTCTCATTTCCAGTCTTAGCACTGCTCAAAAAAAATTGTGAAAATTCTCAAGCTAATGAAACTTCAAGATCAAGACCAACCACCACACACTTTACATATCAGATGCAGACTAGAGACATCTTTCCATTGAACCCAAGCTACTATATTATTCTGCCTTTGAGTGTTACTGACCTCTCTTCCCTGAATGGGACATAAGAGGGAAAGCACCAGTTAAGATACTTTCAAAGACTGGATCAGGCAATTCTTTCTCCAACTCCGTTGAGTCCTGTTCCCACCAGTGACCGACCCCAGTGATTCCACACGCACCGCCAGATTCATTTTCATGAAACCAGTCACTCTGCTCATCATCACCTGTGTAAATATAACAACCCCCCCCCAAAAAATACAGGTTTATTATCCACAGAAACCACACTTGTAATCACAATATCTTTTTTTTGCTTTATAGTTGTACTACAATTATTTGTATATAACAACTCTGCTTGGAGAATAGGTTTTAATAGCATGACAAGTAATGCCATCAATAAGAACACACAAAATGTAATGTTTTAGAACCAATTTAGAAATGTGAAAAACAATAATAAACTGGTTAATCCTTTGGCGATAACTGCAGGGAAATCCATTTAAGTTACTGCTCTTTTCCCATTAACAAAAAACAAGCCTTAATCTCCTGCTGGGAATTAAAAGGTATAAAACTGTGAAACCAGTTCTTTGCAGCTGATAATGGTATATAATTAGCTTAATTTCATGATTTGTATGGCATGTAAAAGGGGGAAACAATCATGAACAGATGTGACTAAATAAAATTAATCTGATTAAGTTCATTAAGAAATAAGTTTTGAAAAAGTTGATTTTAAATGAAAAGTGACAGTACCATGAAATATACTGAGAAATGCACTGTATTGCATTTTGAAGTTGGTCATTTTTAACAAAAATATTTTATGGACATTTTCAGTAAATATTAGAGACACAATGGCAAAAGCAAGAAAAATTCAACATTAAGCATCAAAGTCTGCCTTTAACTAATCTGATATAAAAAATAATCCCCTCCCCCCCCCAAACATTTAATTAAAGGTGAACTGCTACGTTTTAAAAACACTGTTTTGTACAAACACGTAGAGGTAGTAAAAAAGAAGAGTACAGAGCACTGTATTTTAAACAAAAGTTTGAGACGATCATTCTATCATTGAGGTCCTGAGCTGCTAATTCCCCACTTACTTGCCTCCATTTAGTAGGAAATCCGTTAAATCCGACAATATCCTCTTAAGACTTCACTAACTGTCCTTAAATCCAGGAGTTTTAAAAGAAGTATGCTATCGGACTCGTACCATGCCTGGTAGTGTAGTCGTATATAACCTATCTTTAAAGTATCCAATTTGTTCACCATAACTATTTCCATGTATAAAACTGTACCGTGCCTTTCACACTTTTAAATCTGCAAGACTACACGAAACACACCTTACATGAATGTTTAACAAACATTTTAATATGTATGGGCTAATTTATTCATTTATATTTGTTTAATTAAATAGGTGGCTTTACACAGTCAAGTTTATGTCAGCCACAGAATAACCTACATATCAGATGTAGGTTGTGAAGTATCCAAGCATATTTTAATATTTGAATATGGGATAATCTGTAACATGATCAGCAATTTGTTACTTCCACTTCAATTGTGCTAAATGTCGCTGTCACTCTGACAACAAAAAGAACACATTGTCATGAAAATCCAAGCAGAGCCTTGAGGAAAAGTGGAAAAAACAGATATTATAATAATCAAGTGAGGCAATTCCCCAATACCAGGCCAAGCATAGCACTACTGACTGAAAGTGCTGGTTCTGGCCTGGCTGAGTCCAGCGTTACAAGCATATTAAGAAGAATCAAAACATCTCACTGGTCCCTTATGGATTAAATGATGGCCTTAAAATCCTCAGTGGTAACTACTAACACCAAAATTGATAGGTTCCAGAAAAGGGTAAGAGAAGAAATAAGAAGAGGGTGGAAAAAAAGCCACCTGTAGAATGAGCAGTAACACAGAAGAGGGGAGGACGGGGAAGTAGGAGGAGGAAGCTGGAAACAGGGATTTTTTTGTACACTTAATGTCTATCAAGGAATTCAGCATATTTCACTCTCCCAATTCTCTCACTGGCACATATCTATTTTGCTGTGACTTTTCACAAAGTCTGCCCCTCATTAATTCTATCCTTGCCTTCCTCAAGGTCAAGCTAAATTTCTCTCTATGGATCTAATCCATGATGATCCTCAACGGAGCTAGAAGAATAGTGGTGGACAAAAGCATGCAAACGTTTTAGCTAATTTTGTACTATATTTCAATCTGGCTCTATTCAAATCCCTTTCATTTAGTTTTTCACAAACTTTTGTACTAGTGAAATTTGTTCAAATATTTGGTTACAGAAAGTCGGTTAAATGAAACAGCCTATAAAAGAAATGAAATTTGTGAACAGAAAAAAAGGATTAAGCAATACTAAAAATGACTTGTAATTAACAACTCTGCCAAGCTCAAGCCCCAACTAGTGGGACTTATGATTCAAATTAGGCTGATGTCTGGTATGGAGAAAAGCAGAGTTTCTTGTACCCAGATTTAAGTTCAGAAACTATGCGGGGAAAAAATAATGAATGGATCACTGGTGGCTAAACATGATTTGTAAACAGCAATCTGCTGCTCAATTTTTGTGATCACAGAGTAACTACATACTTCCATCAAGCAACAGACTGCACTGCAAGTTCTTCAGCATTAAAGAGACTGGCTACTACTGGTACTCTATAGTAGGTAGAATAACAATACTCAAAAGGAAGTTAAGTATAATTATTTCAATTTTGCTTATTGGGAAGCTACCGCACAAAGAGATTAAGTAATTTGCTCAAGGCTACACAAGAGGTCCATGGCAGAACCCATGGAACAGAACCCGAGCCTCCTGACTTGCAAGATGATGTTTATTTGGCCACCTACTCATATCTATGTCTTTGACTGTTTAATTAAGGGTATGTCTACACTGGCAGAGTTACATCACCGGCAGTTACATCGCCGCTCAGAGCGCTGAAGGGAAACTGCTGTTTTGTGTTCACACTGTCAGCTGCCTGTGCAACAGTGTGTTCATACTTGCGGCACTTGCAGCGGTATTCGGAGCGATGCACTCTGGGCATCTATCCCACAGAGCATCTCTTCCTCTTCTGCCGCTAAGAGTGTGTCGCGGGGCATCCTGGGTCCTGTTCCAATGTCCCATGATGCATTGCTTCGCATCCCAGCAATATGCTTCCGTCTGCATTTGGCACCATCTTTCAATGGTTTGTGTACTGCGCGCTCTGCCTCTTCGGTCTGCAGGAATGGATCCCGCACTGTTGAACAATATGCTGCTCGCTCTCACTAACACGTCACGAATGGCAATGGAGTTATTCCTTAAATTACAAAGGCAAGAGGAGTTTGACATTCATCTCGCCACATGTAGTAGCTACGACACGAGATTGCTTGTGGCATTCACAGAGGTGATGACCACAGTGGAACGCTGCTTTGGGGCTCGGGAAACAAGCACTGAGTGGTAGGATCATGAGCAGTGGCTGCAAAACTTTCGGATGAGGAAAGCCACGTTCATGGGACTTTGTGATGAGCTCGCCCCAGCCCTGCAGTGCAAGGACACGTGAATGAGAGCTGCCCTGCCATTGGAGAAGCGTATGGTGAATGCACTGTGAAAGCCGATCGGTCGCTAACCAGTTCAGAGTGGGAAAGTCGACTGTTGGACTTGTGTTGACGGAAGTGTGCAGGGCCATTAATCGCATCCTGCTCCGAAAGACAGTGACTCTATACAATGTGTGTCACATTGTGGATGGCTTTGCACAAATGGGCTTCCCTAACTGCAGAGGGGAGATAGATGGCATGCATATTCCAATTCTGGCACAAGACCACCTAGCCACCAAGTACAATAATTGGAAGGGGTATTTCTCTATGGTTCTCCAGGCGCTTGTGGATCACCGTGGGTGTTTCACGGACATTAATGCAGACTGGTCCGGAAAGGTGCATGACGCATGCATCTTTCGGAACACTGGTCTTTCCAGGAAGCTGCAAGCTACTTTCTTCCCGGACCAGAAGATCACCGTAGGGGAAGTCAAAATGTCCATTGTGATCCTGGGAGACCCTGCCTACCCTTTAATGCCATGACTTATGAAGCCATACATGGGGAACCTTGACAGCAGCAAGGAGCGGTTCAACAACAAGCTGAGCAAGTGCAGAATGACTGAGTGTGCTTTTGGCTGTTTAAAGGCCCGCTAGCGCTGCCTATATAGGAGACAGGATCTGCTTATGACAATATTCCTATGCTTATAGTCGCATGCTGTTCACTCCATAATATTTGTGAAAGGAAGGGTGGAAGTTTCATTCTGGGCTGGACCGCTGAGGCTCAATGCCTGGAGGCTGAATTTGAACAGCCAGAGACCAGGGCTATTAGAGGGGCGCAGCGTGGGGCCATAAGGATCAGGGATGCCTTGAGGCAGCAATTTGAAGCTGAAAGCCACTAATATTTGTTGCTATGCTCGAGAGTACAGGGCTTGTAATGCTAGGAGGTGATTGTGATTGGTGCAGACAATGCACTGTGAAGGTTTAGGAAAACTGCCTGTTGCTTTGCAGGGCTTTATTTTCTTTTAATTAATGGAATAAAGATTTCTTTCAAACCAAAACAATTCTTTTATTAAAAAACAACAACTAGAGGAGACAAAAAAATAATAATCAGCACTGGGGATGGGGGAAGGAGGGTCCCAGGAGGAGGTGGGGTCCCAGGACAGTTAAAGTTTTGTGTATCTCCAGGGATCATATCCAACTTTGTCCTTTGGAGTACAGTGCAGCAGGTACTGTACTTCAGCAGGGCTAAACTACAGAGGGACAGGTGTTGAGTGCAGTGGGTTCAGGGAGTCCGCAGGGCTGGGCTGTGACAGGGCAAGAGTGGAGTGCAGCGGGTACAGACTAGAGCCAGAAGGTCTACTCCCATACCCCAAAGACCACTATTTTAAAAATATAAAGCATCATAAATGCCATGAGGCACCTTTAAGCCAGCTGTTAGATCCCAGAGCAGCAAAAGATTGAAGCCTCTCCTCCCTTCCCATCCCCTGACAAGATAGCTGCTGAGGAGGAGAGGGGAGCTGTTATGGTCCTACTGAAAAGGGTTGCAGATGACACGATGGAAATTAAGTCCACTATGTTCACAATGCCAGATACAATTACATTTGACTCTTCCCTGTTAAATCTGACTGGGTTTGTAAGGGAGGCTGAGGGACTTGTATCTGGCACTGAAGATCAAATCTAGGTATCCAGATTCAAATTCAGCAGAATATCAGTGAGATCAGCT